CAATAGAGAGAGATGTAGGGGAAAGCTTCTAAGTAGGTAGGGTAAGAATGTCATGGTGTAGAGGACCCTGACAGGCAGAAAGGTCATTTATATATGATGTAGCACTTTAAATTGAGAAATAAGATGATCAACAAGGAAATGGAAAAATAAGTCAGCCTCCAGAGTTCTTACAGAGAGCGCTGAGCTAGAGAAACCACTATGAAGCTATTGTCATAATCTGAACTGACATCCTAGTAAGAATTTCTTTTTAAAATGACAACTGAAGGCCGAGGGAAAGGCCTGATTGAGAGCACTGATTTGAGAGTTGATCATCAGGGCAAGGAGACTGGCCCTGGAGGTAAAGGGGGAGGGTTAAGAAGGAAGCAGAATTTCTATGTTTGAGGCTAAGAGCCTTATCTCTGCTAACTGGCCCCCTCTTCATTATCGGGGGAAGGGCAGATTGAGCCCAAGGCATGTACATGCCCCGAACAGGGTAAACTCACCAAGGTGCTGGCTTACAGTTTTCTACTCTGTGGAGTGAAGAACTTGAGAGCTGAGAGAAATATGTGAAGAGCCTGTGTCCTGACGGAGGCCAGACCAGTTCAGGGTAGTTCTCCCTCTGTAAAAGAACATGGAGGGGAGAGGGAATTGGGTCATTCATTCCCCCCACTGGAGCACTTATTAGCTGAGTAGTACTTGGTGAGAGTATATAAACTTCCTTAGTTTCCTAACTAAGGGGGTGGGGGGGGGGGAGAGATTAAACTACTTTGAAAGGAATTTCAGCATTCCCAGTAGACTTGCTGGTTATTTTCCAGGGAACTGCTCACATAATCAATAGATTGGGTCCTCATTGTTCAATCGTATGTGTAACTTTGGACACACTAAAGGGAATTATTTACCAAATAAGATTTATTAATATGCATTTGGATTATTGCCAAGTTGTATGAATAACTGAACCATAGAATGTGTCATCACCATTGCTGTTATTTTGCAATCTCTGTGGAGCTGAAGTCTGAATTATCATTTTCTTCACATTATATAACTTACGAAGATATGTGATGTATATTCACACCCAGATATTATCTGTGGCTGAGTCTCATATTATTTACCTGGCTGAATAATCCAAATTATTTAGTCAGTGATAAGAGAGGCATCCTGATGTTCCAAAAGCCACGACAGCAGCTGCTTGTCTTATTTTTCAGGCCAGCGCCGTGCTCATGTTTGCCATCTCTGATCTTTGGGACGACATCTTCAACAACCCTTCAGACATGCTATGCTGGCAAGGAGCATTCTAATTTTAGAAATGTTACTCTAGTTGAGATGTTTTTCTATATTTAAAAAGATATAATTTGTATCTCATCTTATTCGAGTCTTTAATTGTTCTGCTGTAAAGACAAAGAGTGATGTCTTAAAGTTGGTGGCTAAGAAGAGAGTAACTTGAAAAACTATTTCTTACCATCTCTGAGTATTCTTGCTTTGTGTAGTTTAAAGCCTTGTCGTTCTCATTACTAGTCTTTTCCCCAAATATGTCTTTCTGGAATTAGTAAAAAATGTTAAAAATTCAATCCAGCTGAACCACAAAATTTCAACTTCCACTCAAATAGCACAGATCTAGTGTGTAGGCATAGGAAGCAGTTTTTTCTTTCACCTTACAGATTTCTTATGTAAACACTTTTCTTGAAGATTCTCAGTGAGATAATATACATAACAACAAAGACACAATAAAAAAGTTGTTTTTTTTTTTTTTTTTTAATCTTTAAGGATAACTGTCAGCTTCCACTGTAGGGTACCTTCCCTTGGCTCCACAGCTCCTTGCATGTCACAAAGGTACGCATCACTGTTAAAACTTTGTTGATGAATATTTGAAAGTCACTGCCCTCTGTTTGAGCATTTGAGTACAAAATATGCCATTTCTCATATTGTAAACTAGTTAAATTGTGTTGCTGTAATGTACTTGACTAACATTGCCAACTTTTACTCATCCACCTTGGAAATGATTTTTGCTAGATAGATGAAATCAATGTAGAACCAGCTCTACTGGAGTCTAATACTACTTTGAAGTTTTGATTCTATGTTTATAGGAAATTTTAGCTCTTTGGTACTTCTTGATGATGTGCTTTATTAAATTACTTTCATATTTGATGTGTATTTACTTTATGTTTAGCTAAACATATTTCAAATATACTGCAACAAAATAATTGACATGCAACTTTTGAGTGATTTACAAAAATGCAATTTTGCAGTTCCAAAAAAAAAAATGGCAACAATTTAGCCTTATTTAGGATATATAAATAACCTTATTTATACTTCTGAAGCATGTTTGCATGGTATGCTAAATCAATATTAATACTTAACACATTCCAAAGGGAATAACTTTCTCTTCTTTCACATACAACATTAGCCTTAGAATATCTTAACTGGATTATTACCACCGAATTTACATGCTATATTACCCACTGCTTGCCTCTATCCTTCTCCACTATAAATTTGGCTCTGTTGTCTGCAGTTCACATTTTACAACAAGTATTTTTTTTTATATTTGCTGGATATTTGCAATACAAATATAAAATGTAAATATATTTAGCTAGCATTTATTGTCACTCTTGTATAAAAAAAATTATGCTTATAGAGCTGGGGTACAGGCCAGAGGTTACAGGGGCGGTGAGAGGATGTTCACCAGAGACAGAGCAGGGCGGGGAGCAGAACAAGACGACTGACAAAGTACACTGCTGAGGAGAGCAGCAGGTAGGTCAGGAGAGGTCTGTCGCGCCATGTGGGTCACCTCCGGGGCGGGGATCAAACTTAAGCTGAAGTGGTTTTAGCTTCTCAGTGCTGTGCTTTAGCCTGTTGTACCACCAGGGAGGGCACTATTACCACTCTTTCCTGCATCCCAGATCATCTACTTGGGATCAAATAATTTTTGAATGGATGGATGAAATATATATATTTCAAATATATATATTTGAAGTCTGGTAAAGGTAAATTTGAGTTTGGTAATCTGAAGATGTACACAATTTACTCATTTGTGAAAGACATTCTTGTAAAGAGAACTCTAGACCGACAGTTTATTTCTCTTGGCCCATTGAAGATGCTGGCTTCTTGCATCTGTTTTTGCTGTCAAAGAGTAAGTCCTAGGTCAGTGTTTGTTGCTTGTAGGTAATGTTTTGTTTCCAGATGCTTTAGCAAACTTTTCTCCTCCCTTTGGTGTTGACTGTGACATATCTGTAAATGGGATTTCTTTTTATTCATCTTATTTGGAATTTATTGAGTTTCCAGAATCTGAGAATGTTTATCTTTGAACAACTCTGAATGTCAACCAATGTATCTTCAGAATTGTCACTTCCCATTTTCTCTTTTATTTATATCTAGAATTCTGATTATTTTCTCAAGTCCTTTTTTTTTTTTTTTTTTTTAATGCTTTCAGTTCCTTTGTCTTTCTAGACTGTAGACTGCATCTGACTTATTTCTCTGGATTTACCCCTGGCAGGTTTCACTTTATCCGTTGCATTTTTCATTCAAATTATTCCATTTTCTAGTTCCGTTTTTCCTCTGAGCTATATGGTCATGCCTTCATCTGTGTTTTCCCTACTCATATTTTCAAATTTCTCATTTACATTTTTAGATTAGATTGAAAGAACTATTTTGTATTCTCTGACCATGTTAGTATCTTTGGGGGTCTTTGCTACCAGTGGTTCACCTTCAGGCTGCTCTATTGCCCTGTCTCATTCATGGTTGCATTTTTTCCTATGACATGCTTACTTTCTCCTGGGAATTGAGACCTGAATTGACACATTTCTTCACAAAGAATTTGCATCTGCTTCCCCCTTGACTCTGCTAGCATCATTAAGCACTCTGTTTGGAGTTTCTCAAACATGTTGATAGTGTATTTGGACCAGAACCTGGGTGAGGGCCCACTGCTACTTCTAACACTCAAAGGGTAATGGTTTGCCTCTTCTACCCAGCACTCTAGCTTACTCAAGCATGTTTCCTCACTCTCCTCTACATCAGACTTGTTTTTTCTTCCTTCCACTTGAGAGTGAATCCCTTTGAAGTGCTCCAGATTTACTGGGGGCCTCCCAATAGACTCACTCATTCTGCATAAAAGCATAAAGGCAGATGCTCAGTCTTCCAGGCTTAATAGAGCCCTCAAGACCAAAGCATGCTTTGGTATTTCCTTCACTGATGGAGTTCCAGCTTCCACTTTGTTTAGAAACCTAAACACCACCTTTTTTCATGCCAGCTCTTCAATGCATTTCAAAAGATCTCCAATATACTTGCTCAGTATTTCTTTATTACTAGTTAGAGATGGGAATCTTGTGGTGATGAAACTGAGACTTAAATGGGAATCTATGTTATGAGTATATAGACATTTATCATATGTATTTGTGGCTTCTTATTTATATGGACTTGGGATAAATTTAATTCTAACACATCTGGTAACAGTGAATATTACATGCTTAAATTATTTCAACTGTTAGCAAGACTAATGGACATGCCTTTAAGAGATAAAACATTCATAAGCAGTTATTATGTATTTAAAGAAATAGAGCCAGAGAATACCTAATTTTAAAATCCTCATTACAGTATGTAGAACTGTCAATAACATCTCAACATAATAGCATTACAAAACAATTCTACCTAGGTCCAGTTCATATGAAATGATTGCTTACGTTGAAAATATTTTAGGAACATTTGAGCTGTTGCACAATATAAAGAACATGATTTCCTTTGAGTTAAGAATGGCTTCTAGGAAAATGTGTGCCGATTATGCTGCATTTTATAGAGTCAGATGATTGTAAAGTGTGTAGTAATTCACAATTTCAAGAAAACCTTTTGAGATGGTGAGTCCCTTTGTCTAGTGAAGTCTCACTTGGTAAAGCCAATGATTTGTCCCTATTAAAAAAATATGATCTTACCTGAGATGTTTCCTCAAGTAACCACACGCATCATTGCAGTCAGTAAAGAGGAGGAGCCGTGCCCCACCCTGCCCCTCTCCCTAATGGATGGCCCTTCTTTTCCAGTACGTGCGAGTATCTTTTGATACAAAACCCGATCTCCTCCTCCATCTGATGACCAAGGAATGGCAGTTGGAGCTTCCCAAGCTTCTCATCTCTGTGCACGGAGGGCTGCAGAACTTTGAGCTGCAGCCAAAGCTCAAGCAAGTCTTTGGGAAAGGTCTCATCAAGGCAGCCATGACCACTGGAGCGTGGATATTCACTGGAGGCGTCAACACAGGTAACTCGAGTGGGACACATAGGGCCATTAGGATGCTGTGGCTGTTGTTTTCTATACAGTTGCATGCATTTGCAGCCCCCACCTCATCTGCCATGTGTCCACACTCACTGCTTATCTCTCCTTGCTTTGACTCTCCTTCCTTTACCTAAATGATAACTATACTGTAGTTATATAGTAAATAACTATAGTCCCTTCAACGGCTTAGCTGACAGCAGAGGACTGTAGTTATTTCCATAATGCTAAATAACTGCACTTTTATTGACAAAAAATTACTTACACATAAGAAACAAGGTAGGATATTTAATACTTAGCTATACAGAATTGTTAAAGTTTACACTAAGGGAATTCACAGACTATTTTCAATCCCCCAAGTTGCTTGCTGAATAAGCACCCAAGAATTCCTTAAGGACTGACTTTTGCTCTGAATTAGAAGCTCTGCCTCTGTTATCTAAGTGATTGTAAGTTTGATGCAAATAACTTTAAATTTGCTGAATGTTCTCTCCATCTAGGATATAAATCGTGACAGTATAATCTAGACTACTATTGTTTATTAGTGGACAATATTTCATTAAGTCAACTCTGTGCCAATAGAAGACACACGCTGCATTCTAAGCAGTTTTTTCTACCTGACAAATGAGTTTCTACATTGTGATACAGCCTGGCTGTCAAATCAGTTCTTACAACTTCCCTTACAGTTAAGTGCTTACCTGCAGAACATTATTAATGGGCAACAGATAATGGAATGGAGGCCTATAAATTGCTTTGACATATTTTCCCAGTCTGAGTCTGAAGTGCCAATTGGAAGAACACAAGTCATACTGCAGTGACCTCAAACTTACTGTAAGACTCTGTATCTATGAACACGTTGTAATTAGTACTGCAGGGCAAAGGACCAGCTAGTTTTTGTTTGTTTATTGTTATCTGAATGTTTGTGGTTTGGATAATGTGTGAGCTAGACCAGTTCTCAGAAATCTCAGCACCTGGAATTTGGGAACATTCAGGATCCAGCTCCATTGGCACGGGTAGGCGTGACCCATTGTCACATTGTTATGTGAACACCTGACTCGGTCTGTAAGCTGACATGAGCTTAGAGTGGCCTGCTTGGTCAGCTCGTTCCTATTCTGTAGTAGTCAAATATCTAGAGCCATTTTCTTTCAATGACTATTCAGGCATTAGGTGCCAACTGTCTCGCACAGCTCAGCTGGCATCATTTGCCTGAATTTTCAGTCTTTGGTTGTCTAAGTATAACCTTCACTTCATGTACAAGTACAACTCATTTTCTAAAAGTGCAGGAGAGATTCTCTCCAACCTTCTGTTTCTGGGAGTTTGGAACAGTATTGTATTTCTTCTTCTATAAAATACATACAATGTCAAAAAATTTACAGCACAAATCCTATAAAAATGTACCATCTCTAACTCACTCTAGCTTGATGTTGATCGCCATACTAAAAGTGAGATGATGCAGGCAGCACACCCAGGTTAGGTAGGAGGTGATGGGAGAATGATGGTTGGCGGCAGGGGGGGCATACCATAAAGTTAAAGTATCCAGGACTAACCCCAAAAGGAGTTTTACACTCAATGGAAAATATCAATACTGTTATTCACAGCTTTACTCATATTTGCTTTTGTTTCCCAGTATTCTCTGGTAGAAAATCCACAGATAAGCTAGTGAATGAAATTGATACTCTTCTTATGATGCCAAACAGAACTCAGCATGGATGTGTGGCTATTTACAGTCTTGTTGATTTTGTTTTTTAAGGAGGCTTCTTCTGCTTGATCTGCTGTTTCAGAATTGAGTTTACACATATGCGTCTTCTCCATGATTAAGTTGCAGTGTTTTGTGTTGCACATCAGAACATGCTGGAATTTGTGCTGCATCACCTTGCATGAGCCAGTTTTCTTTAACATAATGTTATCTGAATGTTTGTGGTCTGGATGATGTTTGGTTTGCTGCGACATTCCCGAGCTCTCCCCTGTGCTAGCCTGCAAGACCCTAACCCTACAAGTTGTCCATCAGGGAGTTTTAGGATGAGGGGAAACGCCCTCATGTGTGATTGATTCCTGGTAAAATCTAGTAGGTGATGTCTGAGATATTCAAGATATGCAAACCACAATGTAGTTGAAATGGAGAAGAAATCAAATTGAGTAGGTTTCACAGAGATGACATTCATTGCCTTTTTTGTAAGGGAACAGGTGAAATTTGTAAGTGGAAACCTCTTCTCTTAGAAAATAAATTCTTGACATTCTCTATCTTCTATGAAAATGATCACTGACAGGGAGGTTGGGAGATTGGAAATTGCATCTTATTGAAACAGTTTGAGACAGGTGAGAGGTGGGTTCTCTAATTTATAAAGTGAATTTTCTCACTAACCTATAGGGGGAAGGTCTTATGACAAGAGGCGAAATAAAAATGATGATAAAAAGGTTTTATTCATGTAGTTTTTGCAATTCCAACACAATATGCCAGAATTTCCTTTACAAGGAGACTTTCCATATTGAAACCATTTCCTTTACAAGGAGACTTTCCATATTGAAACCAATTAACAAACCCTGAGTCAAGTAACGACACTGAGTGATCCTAACTGACTGCTGAGAGTGTGTTACAGATGCTATATTAGTACTTCCTATGGGGTACACTCTTGGCTCTTAGCCATACTAACACATTATGCTTGTAAAAACAAGTAAAAGATTGCCTGTAAAAAGAATACACATGTTTAAATTTAGACAAAGTAGAATAAATACATTGCTTGAGTTCATGTCCAAATTCAGCAACTGTGGCTGGCATTAGAGACACAAGTTTACATTCAGTGCATTTAAAAGACAAATCTTTTTCTTCATAGGAGTTATTCGCCATGTTGGAGATGCCTTGAAGGATCACGCATCCAAGTCTCGTGGGAAGATCTGCACCATCGGCATTGCTCCCTGGGGGATTGTGGAAAACCAGGAGGACCTCATTGGCAGAGATGTAAGTCTGGGGCGTTACTGCGTCTGTGACTGCCCCCCACCTCTCTTCCAGCTCCTTTTGTTCGTTTTCCACTCATTTCCCATTCTACTTAGTCTCTGTCCACTTTTCTCCCTCCCTACGTTCCCCCAACTTCTCTCAATACTTTCCTGTTTCTTGTCCCTCTTTCCTCTGTATCTCTCTCCAGTGTATCTATCTCTTCCCACTCGACTAATTTCTTCACTTTCCTCTGGTTATGACAATCTCTGCCCCCAATTCTATTTTCCCTTACGCTCTCTCCACTCACCTCACTTCCCTTTCCATATTCTAGCTCTTTTCTTTGTCTTAACTCCTCTCCCCAATTTTCTTGTTCCCTATTCTATCCTCCCTTTTCTTTATCAGCTTCCATCGTTCTCCTAGCTTTCCTCATTTTCTTTTGCTCCCTGTAATCTTTTCTGTCTCTCCCGCTCGCTATCTCCCCTTTCTTTTCACAGTACTATCTTTTCCTGTTGTCCACATCTCTCCCTTCTCTCTCCTTGCCTATACTCTATTTCCTCACTTTCCACTTCTGTTTTTGTTCACACTCTGCCTCCTTTCCCCTGTCTCTCTCTGTCCTTCTCATCCTCTCTATCTCCCTTCTCTCCTTTCCACATCCCATTTTAGGCCCTATTGACTTCTCTTTCCCTACCCTATCTCCTGTCCTCTGTCTTTCCCCCTCTCAATGTCCACTTCTATCTTTCTCCCTCTATTTCTTCCAGGTCTCTATATTTGCCCTTGCTTTTGTGTCTTTCCACTTCAGTATCTCCCATTTCCGTCTTCTCTTTCCCATCTAGTTCCACTGTCTCTTTTCCCTTGCTAGCCACTTTCTCCACACATAGTTCTTGTGTCGACTCATCAAATTCTGTATTTTATCTCCTACTCTCTCTACTTCACTCTTTTTTCTGTTCCCTTTCCACATCTGTCCTCTCTATTTCCTCTTCTACCCAATCTCTTCTCACCTGTTGCTCTCCCCTCTCCCTTTTTCTCCTCAGTCTCCCTAACCTTCCCCCCATATCCTCTGTGTCCCACTACAACTATATCTCTTTCCTTCTCCACACTTTCTTCTTACATACTACTCTCCAAGTACTTTCAGGCTCTGAGGTAAATGGATATAAAAATACTGTGTGCTTTAGAGAAATAGTCACACATGCTTAGATGTCATCCACCTCCTCCCCAACATTTTTTCCATTCCGTGTCCCCTTAAGAGCCTGGATTTGGTAGTCATGTTTCTAGGGTTTGAGTTAATCTATAGTCTATATATGAGTGAAATAACTGCAGTATTTGTCTTTCTGCTTCTTATCCATTCTACACTAGAGGGAGATTATGCTATGTTGGGAGTGCTAAGAATGCATCTTTTCTCATCTCTTCCCACTTCACTTCTCGATGTCCTCTTTCCCTATTCTAATATCCCACTACCTTCTTCTCTTTTACTCTCTCTCTGTTCCCACTTGACTATCTCTTCTCTCATGTCTCCACTTCTCTATTTCTCTTTACCTGTCTCTCTGTTCACTTCAGACTATCCTTTCTGTCTCTCTTCACATTTCTGTGTCCACTTCTGTCCTATCTCTTGGCAATACCTCTGTTTTTCATTATTCTCCCCTCCCATTCCACTGTCCCTTGCTATCTACTCCCTCTAGCTTCTTTTCTTTGTCTTAACTCTTCTGTTTCTCCTTCAGTCCCCTCTCAACTTCTATTTCCTCACTCTACTCTTTCCATTTTTTTTCCCACACTCTCTTCTTACTCTCGCATTTCTGTCCTATCTGCTCTCACTCGTTTTTCCATCTCTCCCCACTTCAGTCTTCTCGCCCACTCTTTCTCTTACCTTCTCCTCATCACTCTCACCACACACAAAGAGGGGAACTGGAACACAATATCCACGCCTGTCCCATCTCCTTGCCCTTTTATCTCTCTCTCCTCTCAGTTTCCCATCTCTTTTTAATATGCTCCCTCATCTTTCTTATTCCCCTTTTATATCCTATTAATTTCTCTTTCCCTATTCTATCACCCCCCCACTTCACTCTCTTTTCCCCTTTCTATGTCCATTTCTACCTTTCTCCCGGGTCTCCCATATCTGCCCTTTCTCTTTCCCCTTGCTTGCCACTTCTCTCCACTCTCTCGTGTCCACACCTCTGAAATTCTCCATTTTACCTCCTCTCTCTCTTCCCTAACTACATCTCATTTCAGTTACCTTCTCCTTACCCTCTTTTACCTCCTCTCCCTTTCCTTTTTTCTTCTCATCTCCTCATTCTGTCTCCCTCCACTGCCACTATCCTTCCTGTTTCTCTTCCCTTCAATTTCCCCATTGTTCTCTTCCTTTTCTTTCCATGCCTCTAGGTCTCCCTATCCTATCTCACAACCTCCCACTGCTTTATCTCTCTTCTACCTCTTACCTCTCCTCTTTGTTCCCCGTCTCTTGCTTTCTCCACATGCTCTCTTCTCACACACTCTTCTCCAAGTACTTTCAGGCTCTCTGAGGGAAAAAAAAAAATCAAAGAGGTTAAGTAGTAACAGCTCCTTAACTGCTTCTATTGTTGTTGCAGTGAAACCATTATTTATTAGAGGTAAATCTATGCATGATTTAGAGGAATAGGCATGCATGCTTAGATGTATATCATCCAACTTTTCTTTCTGCTTTTTACCCATTCTACACTTAGACAAAGATGGAGGGAATTATGCTATGTTGGGAATGGTAAGAATGCATTGTTGTTACTAATGGCTGAATAGTATTCCAGTGTCCTATTTCCTTTCTCTGTTCCAACCTGTTTCTTTTCTCATGTCTCCACTTCTGTATTCTCTATTTCTCTTCTTCTCTGTCTCTCCGTTTGTTCACTTCAGACTATCCTTCCTGTCTCTCTGCCACTTCACTTTTCTCTCATCATCTTCCTCTACCTATGCTATTTTCCCTTTCCACCTGATTTCCCTCTCAACTTCTCTCCACTTTCAGCATACTCTGAGAGGGGGAAAAGAGAACACAAAGTCCATTCCATACTATCCTTTCCACCTCTTTTACTATCTGCTCTACTTGCTTCTCCTTATTTCCTCTGCCCCTATCAATGTCCATTTCTATCCTTCTCCCTCACTTTTCCCTCTAGGTCTCCATATCTGTCCTTTGTTTTGTGTCTTTCCTCTTCAGAATCTCCCATTTTGGTATTGTCTAGTTCTACTCTCTCCTATTCTCCCAGCTCTATCACCTCTTACTCCACTACTCTCCTTTCTGTGTATCCATTCCTTTCTTAAATTCTCTATTTTATCTCCTTTCATTCTACCATCGCTTTTCCTCACTTCAGTCTTCTCCTCTACCTCCAGATCTCTTTTCACCTGTCTCCTCTCAATTTCTACTCATTGCTCTCCCATCTCTTTCCACATTATTCCACCCTCTCCTCTCTTTGCCCTTCTTAGTGTGTACTTCCTTCTCACTCACCCTTTCTCTCTTCTCCCATTTATTTTGTGTCCCCCTACAACTATATCTCTTTCCTCTCACCCCCATGCTTCTATCTCCTTTCCTTCTGTGTTTACTTGCCTATCTCCCCATTCTCTAACCTTGTTTCTTTCCATGTCTCTTGCTTTCTCCACACGTTCTCTGAGGACCAAAAAAAAAAAGCTAAGTAGTAACAGCTTTTTAACTGCTACTGTTGTTGTAGTGAGATCATTATGTATTTATTACTGAGGTAAATGGATATAAAAATACTGTATGATTTAGAGGAATAATCACACATGCTTAGATGTGTGTCATCCACCTCCTCCCCGACTTTTTTCCCATTCCAAGCCCCCCTAAGTGCCTGGATTTGGTAGGGTTTAGCTTTATCTACTTAGCATAATTCCCTTAGTCTATGTTGGGAATGGTAAGAATGCATTTCTATTCATGGCTGAATGTTATTTCTGTGTCCTATCTCCTGTTTCTTTTCTCTCTCTTCCCACTTCTCAATGCCCTCTCTTCTCTTTCCCCTCTATCTCACCTTTCTCTGTTCCCACTTGACTATTTCTTCTCTCATGTATCCACTTTCTGTTACCTTCTCCCCATCCCTTACCACTATCCCCTCTCCACCTCACCACTGTTGAGAGGGGTGAACTGGGACAAAATGTCCACTTCTGTCCTATTTCCTTGCCCTTTTATCTCTCCACTTCATACTATCCTTCCCACTCACTTTCTCATCTCTTTTATTTTGCTACCTCATCTTTCTTATTCCCCTTTTATAACTTATTAACTTCTCTTTCCCCCCTTTCAATGTCCATTTCTAACTTTTTCCCCTCACTTTTTTCTCTGGGTCTCCAATATCTGTCTCTTTGCCCTTGCTAACCACTTCTCCGTCCACTCCTCTGAAATTCACTATTTTACCTTCTCCCCTCTTGCTTTCTCTCTTTCCCTATTCTATACCTCACTTCTCTACTCTCCTGTTCTTCCTCCACTGCCTCTATCTCCCCTCTTCCTTTTATCTTTCTCATTTCAGACTATCCCACCCTTCCCTTTCTCTTCACCCTATCTCTTTTCTCTCACAAGTTGACTATTCTGTCTCTTCTCCACTTCACTTTCCTCTCATCTCTTTTTCCTCACTGGTCCCTTTCCATATTCTAGCTCTTTTTCTTTGTCTTAACTCTTCTCCCTACTTTACTCTCTTTTCTCCTTCTCTATATCCTCCCTTTCCTTTATCAACATCTAGCTTTCTCCATTTTCTCTTGCCTTTTTTCTTCTTTACTGCCTTTCTGTTTCTTTCTTACGCTTTTTCCATTGTCCACATCTCTCACCACATTCACCATACTCAGAGGGGGAAAAAGAGAACAAAATGTCTACTTCATACTATCTTTCCCACTGCTCTCGCTTTCTTTTACTTTTCTATCTCCTCTCTACTTGCTTCTCTTTATTTCCTCCTCCCTCCCTTTCATGCCATATATTAACTTCTTTTTTCCCTTTTTTGTCTTCTCTCTCCACTGCCTCTATCGTTTCCCTTCTCCCTCACTTTTTCATCTGGGTCTCCATATCTTCCCTT